CGTCTCAATCCGACCCCATTGCCTTCCAGGAACTCAATATCCGATACGGCTTCATTGTGTGCAGCTTCCTGCTTGTGAGCACTGCCTCCAACGAAGGTCTGCTCGCTGCCAATCTTGACAGCTTTAGTATCCAACGTCTCGGAAGCGAATACCCAGTCGTGCTGAGCTGCTTCAATGCCCTTCTCGTTGTTCCCACGGATGAGGTAGCGATTATCCCATCGAACTATTCTCTGTATGGCTTGGACATCCGACGGGCCGAGATGGATAGGTATTGAAAAGGTAGCTACTGGTTTCTATAAAAGGTCTACGCAAGAAGAAGCGCACGGTAAGCTCGTTGCCTTAAGCATTAGCATTCGTGCGGATCTAACGGTACCTTTTAATACAGCTGAATAATATCTACACCCAACACTGCTTAAATGTTGCATACAAGACAGCTCTTCCTCTAGATAGCACTCTGATATCTGCTAGTATCACTGCTCCAAAACATTTTGGCTTCAACGCCCTCACATTCCGCACTTCCCTCAATCGTCTTTTCCTGCAGTATTCAGCATCTCCTTCTCCTTCTTTGCGTCTAAGTCATAGCGAAACTTTGCAAACTCTTCATGGAACAATTCTTCGTTCAGTACCGTAATAAGTGCTCGGAGACGAGGAAGTGCTGCGTGAAGTGCGTTCTTTTAAGCACCTACTCAATTGCCTCATCCGTAACCTCTCTGAACTGCTCACGAAGGGATTTGACACTATCCTACAGACTCGCTTCGCGCCATGCGTGATCAATTGCTTGTGTATGAGAGCTTTAATTGTTTGCATTGTGGCGATGTCGGTGCCAACATCATCGGCGAAGGGCAGCAACCTGTCGTACGCCCGATGGATGATATCCACATACTTCATGTAGACCCGAATCACTTCCCCTGCGCTTAGAGATTTCCTTATCACTCAGGATTGTCATTAGCTTGATCTCGTCCAGTCCCTGGTAGATGCAGCGAAGAGTCACGCGAAGACTGGCTGGTCGTTGGAGCCAAATGTATAAGCCTTCGAATGTCAAACCTGTCTGCGCATCTTCTACTAAGCCCAAATGCATTTCGTTGACGATGTCCTCAAAAGGTCGCGGCGGCTTGAAGTCTTCCAAAGCTGGGTGCACCATTTGAGTTGTATTAGCACTTCTCTGACACTCGCAAGTGCGCATTTCGTTTTGCCTTTTTCAAGTCCTTAACAACCTAGAATTCACACCTGTCTGGATTTGGTCCTTCCTCTTTGAGGGGCGTGTTTCAATCGGAAGACGGTACATTTCAGACGTAACAAGATGTGATCGGAACACTCTCGTCATGCTTTTGGTGTACAGAAAAGAGGTAAGAGCCATGCCTGCTAAAGACTCGAAGATACACATCTTTGCTCTCGTGTTACTCCTTCCTATGCACGACCATTCGGCTTTGCGGGGCTTTTAGGAGTCCTCTAATGAAAAGCCACACAACGTGAACGGCGGCCCTAATGTGTAGGCTTTATACTGACTGAAAATGCCTAGAAACAATGCATGGAGGAGCAAGCACAATTAGTGAAGCGCCAGTTCATAACGCGCCCTCCGAACATCTGTGCGGGGGCCATCGACATGGCACCGCAAAGTATGGGCACGCAGGCACATCGATATAGCATCAGTATGAGAAAGTCTCGGTAGTACAATCCACACTGTTGGCCCCATCACTAGTTTTTGAAGAAGCCCATGTCGGATAAACGCCTGCATGGATGGCGCTTGGCAGAAAGGGCCGGAAAGAGCCGCCGCCAAGTTCGCACGCCTCCACACCCAAACCGCTTCTTCTATAACTCGTCCCTTGTCTCACGCAGACCCTTTCCGAAGTCGCCCAGATGCTCACAAAGCGTATCTCCAGCCGTCAATGAGACAAGCGCTCTCATCATCTTGAAATGCCTTGTGAAGTGAGTTCTGTCCAGGTACACTTGCTCCTTGCTCGTCATGCCCTGCGCGAATTGCTGCTTCATGATGGTTTCCTTATGCGCGGCATCGGCAGACTGCCATTCTTGTAGCAACTTCTTGGGAATGGAAGTCTTCTGCTCTTTGAGGCTGATCATGTGCGCCTCCATGTCATCAGACAAGGCCACCATCTCCGCGTACACGTCACGAAGTTCCGGACCGTACTTAGTGATCCCAGCGTCAATCTTCCGAGCGCGAGATGCTTCGCTTTCATCGGGCAAGTCGATCAGCGCGGCCACTTTGACCAAGCGTTGTTGGATACGGAGGGCCTTGATACGCAGCGTGCGTGGCCGTTGCAAGAAGTCCCAGAGACCTTCATACGTGAGGTGGTGCCTTGCCTCGTCAATGGACATGTGATGAAGCCGGTTAACGGTCTCTTCGAATGGAGCCGGCACCGGAAGATCTTCAAGCTCTTGATGATCCTTCTGGTACATATTAGCGCCGTCTCTAACCATCATCGTGTCTGCTTACATTTAGCAGCAGGTTGAGCTGCGCCTGGCCGTCGTATCCCAAGTCCTGCAGATACTTTATGAGGTAGGCGAGCTTCTCGGCAGCCCGGCTCTTCGCATCCACCAGCAGTGTGACTTGCTCCACTTTCTCCGCGAATGTTTGCTTACTCTCCCGCTGGAACTTTCTCAATGGCTGCTTCTGAGAGGTTGATGCGCGATCATCGGTTGCTGTGGAAGGTACGTGCGATGGGGTTCGTGTCGTTTGGGTGCTCCGTCGGGCAGCTACGACGTAAGCATCTTTGGCGAGCTGCTTGTACTCCCATTTACGTCGAGTCAACTCTGCTTCCCTCGTTCCGGCATCGGTGATCGGGCGCCTCAACGCGGCGGTGTGCACCGTCAAATCTAGCGGTGGTATCGCAAGTGCGGGCGGCGCAGGCTTGCCATTCGGCAATGTAGCGAAGACGCCGTCTGGATAGTTGGTGTGGAAACGGCCCCATATAAGATAGTGGAGCATCAGGGAATACTCAAGGTCTCTATCAGATGGCTGACAGTCGGAAACGAGCTCACACCCGGTGTCGGCATCGAGCACTAGCAGACTGGTGGGTGAGGCCATCGCGTCCGTAGAGTCGGTAGGACGATTGACGATCAAAGGTGCGGCCAAAATTGGTACAGGTACTGGTAGAGAGCAAACAGCATAGGGCCGCGCTAGCAAACCTTGGCCACTACTCTCACTCAGCGACCCAAGATTCCGCGCTCACTCTCTCAAGACCAATCCTTACACAGTCAAGCACCATGTACCAACTCTTTATCAGCAGCAACCGATCCACGAGAAAATCATCATTGTCGTCATCCACGAACGACGCGCGGCAGGAGATGCTGTGAAAGAATCGTGCGGAATTGGAACGCGAAAAGAAGGAGATGGAAGAGGAGAGAAGAGGCGGAACGTAAGGTGAAGACAGCGCAGTTGTCACCTGAAATTAGAGCCACGTATGCTCCGAGTTGATTCACTATAAACTGACTGATGTACAGGAATTCGCTGCCAATAGAGATGCGCTTCGTCCGAAACTCACAGAGGTCTCGGCGCCATACGGACCGTAAGGGCCCCTTGTTAATAGCTGTCCCGGCGGAGGCAATGCAGTTTGCGAGGATGGTTCGTGTATATTTCTTAACACGGCTGCGAGGAGGAAAAAGAGTGATAGATATTTGAAGTTGTTCAGCAGTACTGATAGATGTACTCTATTAGTAACTAAAATGTTTCCAAGATAGCCAGGACCGCTAATGTGGGTTTTTGCAACGGACTCAAGACAGTGGTGAGAGTACGATGCTTGTGCACGTTTACTGAATCTGTAGCTCTATGGTGAGACCGAACCATGTTGCAGCGATTCAATGTCGGAGCATAATGGAGTCTCCAGCGACCTTTGGTGTGTGCCTTCAAGGATAACTAGGACAACGACGGGTAGTTGATATATACTTGAGGCCACACAGGCACATGTGTAGAGTTGCTACGTTTTCTTTTGAGTGCTCTTGGGATTAGACAGGATAGTCGATGCGCTTTTTCGAGTGGCACGCAAGAGACAGGCGTGTTGGGAGCACTCATGCGCGAGTGCATGAGTGTTTTGGTCGATGAACAGTCCGAAGCTGAGTATACTAGCTCCTATACACACCAAATCTGCCTCCGAGGGGTATTGAGATCGGGAGCGACCTGTTAGGTGAGCCCCACTTCCCTTGGGCATCGTTTTTTGGCTTTCCAGACTTTTTTTGCCGATTGTTTCTCAAGGTTGAGTACCGACCTTGAGATGGCATGAATGTGTAAGCCACTTTCGCTTCTTGGGGAGTGCATGCTGATGTATTGGTTCGGTCGGGCATCAAGACCGATGCTGATACTATGGAGCGTTGCGGAGAGTAGTGGTCCATATAAAGTATACCGAAACACAGAAGCGGAAGCATTTGTCATGCAGTCGATTTGAATAATGGATGAGTGTACGAGAAGCGTGGTAGAGCGGGTCGCAATCTCAGAAGCTTGGTTTCTGGACCTGAATGATGACACCATTTCTGGCATCCCCATATGTCGAAGTATTGCTCTTTGACTGGGAAGCTGAGCATGTACTTTCTATCGTCGTTAACTTAATATCTCGAAAACCTAAGTTTGCAGAAGTTGAGAATATTGCGCGTCAGATACACCTGCGACAGCGTCCCATGAGAACAATCAGTGCTCAGGTACAGCACACTGAGGCCTAAAGTATAAGTCAAGATGTACAAGATAGACCAGCATGGTCACGATGCTCAAGACTCGGTGACAAAAATCTACAGGTCAAAAGCCAATCTTTCAACGCAACGCATCACTTCACTGCACCCTATTGCATCTTTCGAATGCTTCACCACGAAACTATACGAATACCGAGGCTTATCCTACTCTATTTCGATGGTCACACTGTCCTCAAGATGGATGTTGGCACGTGGGTGCCAAGATTCCGACCACAATGTGAAATTCACCGCTACATGCACTCGGGACGCCACAGAGCTATCCCAGCATGACCAGGGAGGCAAAATGAGTCTGGAAAGGCAAAAAACGATGCCCAAGGGGCTCGAACCCTCAACCTTTGGTGATACTGCTTTCAAACCGAAAACCAACGCGCTACCATTGCGCCAAGGCACCGTATCGTACTTTGATGAAAGAAATGGCAAATAAGATAAACTATATCCAGCGTTATTGATGAACAGCAGCCGTAGCTAGTGGTTCAATTAGTTTAAAATAGTCCAGATGTGCTTGTGCCTGCGGTGATTGTGTGGCCGAAAGAGTGGGGGAGTGGGTCAGGTTGGTGAGGGGTACGCCATCGACCACTCAAATTTTCACACCATGGATCGACCCGAAAACAAACGCAATAGCGGGGTTTACGGCACGCATGATTTGATCTAAAAATGCTGCTTCCACGGGCTACACGATAAATTTGATTTCTGCCACAGAGAATCCCACTATTGACCGAATACTTGACTTAGTCGTATTGCCCGGTTTTTCCGCGAGTCAGGGGCGCTTTTCGGCCGAACAGTTTTTGTGTCAGGTCAAGAACGACTTGTCTACAATCACGATGTTGTCGTTTGAGATGACGACAATGGTATAATGGCATGAACGAATTGCTATCCTTCCTTTGGGCGCTCACTTCTACTCTTGCATCAGACGCGTATCAATCTCAGATTCAAAGAGACCCTGCTACAACTGAGGCACTTCCAACCGCAACGTCTCATCCCAACTCAAGTACTACACGTAAAATTCGCTGTGTCGTATGCGGGAGCCTGATTTGTGTGAAATTTCCTTGTCTCCGTAAACTTCTTTTCAGGCATCAATACTCAACAATGCGCGATCGTCCTCATATCATTCACTAGGGGTGGTTTACAGCTTCCAGGCCTTAAACCACTGAGGCCCGAATCTATTCTTGATCAAATGCTTGCTTTGGGTTACGCATATGGCTCAAAGAAATAAAATCAATAAAAAGAACCTCCCGAGTACTCGCAAGAGGTTTGATCATCATCATTTTCGCAATTTCACATCGTCAATATGCCTTCCGGCGACTTGAGATGTGGGTAGTCCGAGTCCGTTGCTCCGAGCTAGTGAATTATTCTTTATTGTTAACACATGATTATAACAAGGAGCATAATATGCCTTGAAGTTATACCTTACTATTTCAGAACTTGATAAAACCACCATTAATTACGCCCAGGCGACTACGACGCGTGCAAGCATAATATTTGGCCTATTCACGTGCCACGCATTGAGATAATTCAGCATCTGCTGCTTGTAAAGTCCTCGCTAGCATGGAAAAAAATTAGGCGGCGCTTCTCAACCAGTCCCATGCGAAGTGACGCAGGTATCAGGACTTGCGGACGCGGTATTGCTGTGTAGCGCTACAGTGAAAGACGCTAGGCAGCGATGCAACCATGGTTCCCACCATGAACAGGTCACAACCTTCCATAGGAATGAATTCGCAAATGATCTCCTCAATCGAGCACTACTAGCCCTTCACTTTTCGCTCTTCTTAACACTGCCCAAGACTCAACACAAACCTTCTGTTCTACCCTTTCATCCACCAAAACGCCTCAGGGTTTCCACTCCCACACGCATTCATCGTCACCAACACAATTGAGAAGTTCATGGTCATGCTCAACTTTCGCTTGAACAACTCTCAAACAGAGGGTGGAGGACGCACTCCCACGGCAAGGAAATATCGCAAGACGCCTGCGCCAGCTACAATACCCGTCCGCGAAACCGTCTCATACCCGAAAATTAACGTCAACGTCAACGGCAACGCATGCCTCGCGGACTGGAGGCCCTTCGAGCATTTGCTTGCCTGCGGCCATCTCATCAATACCCGACTCCCTGACCTGCCCTGTGCACCCAATTGCCATCACGTCGAGCGTCAAACCGTGGGGTTGATCACAGGAAAAGTCAACGGTAAGCTCGTCAGCGACAAAGACTTCTTCTGCGATGCGTGCACGGAGGAAGAGATTGAAGAGGAAATCCCTCATGACGTGACAGCGACGGATGCACAGAATTATAAAACGATGCAAAGGGCCGAGGAATTGAAGATGCTTGACAGGAAGAGAAGGTTTCGCGAATGTTCCATTGTAAAGGATATATACATTCCGTGTTTTGCTGACGGAAGCTTGTCGCCGCGGTATCAGCCGAATGAGAATGGACATTCGCTAGAAGTGTGCTCGCCACACACTAGTAATAACATGTTCGAGGACAAAGATATTAACTCCGAGCTCCCAGTTGACGAGCAGGAATCGAAACTCCACATTCCGGCCCAAAAGTGTAAGGCGACCACCACGAACTTGATCGAGGAGGAGGACGAGGATGATGATGTTACCGCCGAAGCTGGTGCTGATGCTCAGGAGAGAAAGCGTCAAGGTTGCGCCAGAGATACGCAAGCTTGACGTCTCGTTAATTGCTCTAGCAAGGGACATTAAAGCATTGGGGCGAACTTAGGCTAAGAATTCGGCCATGCACCCTGCATAATAGTGCCTTAGAGAGTCACTACGTACTTCTAGTAATACAGGCTGAGAGATATTCACGTTCCAGTAAGGATAAAGTAGTGTAGTTCCCTGGAGGCTTTCAAGTATCTATTAGTGCTGTGCTACGCTTATAGGTAGATGCGGAGACCTGCAGGTACTGTTGAGCGATGAAACCCGGCTGAAAAGCAAAATCGAGCGACCGAATATGTCTTGCCTTAACTTATAGCTTGATAAGCGATAAATCCAAGATAAGAGGCAAGGCACGTACAGCAGGGCAATGTACACTTGCAGTAGTGAAGCGTACTCGACTTCCATACCTCTAACCAGAAACCTAATAGACCTTGAATTCCACCAACCTGACCTTCTTGCCGCTCTTTGGTGTGAAAACCACTCGCACCTTACTACTCGTGACATCCGCCCAGCTGACCTCTGTGATGCCGTTCGCAACAGACTCGCCATATTTCGCGCCGCTTGCATCAACCCATGAATCCCCAGTAGCAACTTGAATGCGATAGCTCTCCGGCACGTCGAAACCTTGTCCTTCTTCGGCAAAGAACGCAAGATCCGCAGCGCTCGTCGAAGTACCTGCACCAAAGTCGATCTGGAACCATAGCTCCGTGGCATTGCCAACCGGTGTGCTCCAGCCATTAGCAACATCGGTCTCGGGGAAGAACCAAATACGTCCATCGATGGACCCATAGATCGTGCGCGCATCAACACCGGTTACTGACACGCTGCCTTTAGGGAATGCAGTGGTGCTACTGAGCTGGATGGACTTTGCGATACGACGAGTAGTGGCTGCAGGAGCTGTGCGAGAAAGTGGAACACTTAGACGAGCAAGCGTCGGCGAAGACGCAACGACTTTACCGTCGACTTCGACCTGCAACCCTGTGGCGCCATAACGAGACCCACTTGCGTCCCATTGTACTGAAATCTCGTGACCATGGTAGATGACGCGATCGGCGCGGAAGTATGATATTGTCGAGGAATCGATCAATGGATTGACCTCCAGTACATCATCTGCGCTGGGGCGGATCCCAACAAGACCAGACAAAACGAGGTCAACGAAGCCGGAATGGAAGTAATGTGGCGAGCGTTTCAGCCCCACAATCGGATAGCCAGTATCCGGATAGTAATCTTCTTCGAGATCAAGAATGCCTCCTCGCTCGGGGTTGTAGTGTAATTGCGCATACTGTTTCAAAAAACGTGTGTGGTCCGATGCACCTATGATACCAGTGGAAGCACCCGTAGGGTAACTATTCAGGAAATTGGCAAGACCTGAGATGACTTGGGTCGTCTGGAAAGGCCAAGAAGGCCCGTTCCATTGGCATCTCGTTTGATGTGAGTATACGTTTTATAATGTGCTTTCTGTTATACTTACTCTGGTTGAGTACCTTCGTATCGATACTGGCGCATATAGTACTGGTAGCTTGGTTCGACCGTACGTAAGCCGTGTTCGCCGAGAAGTTCGCTACTGTTCAAAGCATGCTTCCACGCTTCAGCATACTCGGTAGTGTCGTCTGGTAGTCCGTGGGTCCAGGGTACAAAGCCGACGAGTTCGCGGCCGCGAATGAAGTCCCAGTACTTGACGAAGTTGTTATTTTGTTGATAGCGATCGATGAAATGCTCGAAAGTCGAGTTCCAAAGCGAGTTCTGAACACGACTTTTGATGGCTGCTGCTCGAGAGTTGTAGTCTTGGACAGTACTGTCCGAACCACCCTTGAGCGCCGACAAGCTCGCAATAGCTTTCGCATTTGCGAATTGGTAGCTATTGATGCTTGGTCGAAACGAATATCCTCCAAAAAAGCCGTCCGTGCCATTTGATGCGTCAATGCTAGATATCGTGTACTCTGTCGCATCACGGATTGGCTCAACATGGTAGAGACCCTTGGAAGTGTCGAACGAGTCGCTCCACGCGTTGAAAACAGTCTGCATCCGGTCAAGCCGCGCGATTGCGTCCGAGGCCACGCCGTCTACCAGGTATCCCTGCCAAACTGCTGCAGCCATGATTTCGGAAAATTGACGTGTATTGCTATTTGGTCCGAGGATAAAGGTCGCATAGTCTTCTTTGAAGCGCCTATCACGACACCAGCGACCCTCCAGGAGATGAAACCCAGTCGCATCGTTCAGAGAGGCCCAGGGGTTGGTTTGCCAGCTGACGTCGTCGAGGAACTCGGTCGAGATGAAGCCATTCGCTCCAAGGTCGCGCTGATGAGCTCTGAAGATATTCCAGCGGTAGTAGTAGACATCCGTAATATCCTTGTCGCTCGACTCGAAAAAGGGGATGCGGTCGCGATACCAGGGTGCGTCGTTGCCAAAGTATTGTTTGGCAAGAGCGTCCGCGTCGAGCAGAGCATGTGCTTGCCGCACAGAGTAGACAAATGCTAACACGCTTGCTGTCCTCATCTTAAGATGTCAATACTTGAATTGATAGGATAGTCCTCTCATTCTCTTGACCTTGAGACGTGCGCATGGTCGTCCTTATACTCCTGACATACGCGCCTATGGCAAGTGCTACGAGATATTTCGTAGCGTTATGACACCATGTCCATTGCCTGCCGCAAAGAGGCAGGCGACATCGTGTGTCTGGTATGCCAATGCCCCGGTGAACGAGGATCTCTATATTGCACTACGACAATCCCGGTG